ATATGTTAAAATTGGTCTTACTAATGATAAATATAGTAGTCGTTTATTGTGTATATTAAGTTTGGAGTGAGCACCAATTATTGGATGTAGCTTATTCATAATAGCTATAGATAAGTTTGCTCTTGTTTTTATGTGTTCATTGAATTTTAGTTTTTTATCTAGTGTAATACCTAGATACTTTACCTTGTCAACCCAATTAAAGTTTACATCGCCTACATTAAGAGGTCCTTGCAATATATAGTTGTTTCTTTTGTTGGTAAATATGATAGCATTGGTTTTTTCTACGTTTATTCTTATTTTCCATTCGGTAAAATAGCTAGATAGTTTATTAAAGTGTGTTAGAAGTTTTTTATGAATTTTTTTGAAATTTGTACCCGAAGCGAAAATTGCAGTGTCATCTGCGTATGTTAATAGCGTGGTGTTATCGTCGTGTGGTATATCGTGAATGTAAAAATTAAAAAGTGTAGGTGAGAGAATTGATCCTTGCGGTAACCCGTATGGCACTGGGTACAGTGAGGATCTTGCCGAATTTACAGAAACCATAAAAAATCTATCAGTTAAGTAAGATTTGGTGAGGTGGATAATGTTGGAGGGAAATTTTTTAATAATCATTTTGTATAGAAGTGCATCATGCCAGATAGTGTCAAAAGCCTTTTCGATATCTAATAGAAGCATTCCTGTAAGTTTTTGTTAGCTAATTTATTTTTAACGTGTTTTGTAAGTATAGTGAGTGGATGTGCTGTTGAGTGCTTAGGTCTAAATCCATATTGTGTTTCAGGAAGGAGATTATTACTGGTGATATGTTTGTTGATATGTTTTAATATAACTTTCTCTACTAATTTACTGAACGAGCATAGAAGACTAATGGGACGGTAGCTATTGGGGAGATGGGGAGGCTTTCCGGGTTTAAGGAAAGGAAGTATGTTTGAAATTTTCCACTGATTGGGAAAGTAGCCTGTATCAATGATGCTATTGATAATTTTAGTAAGAAGGATTATGGCTTTTATGGGAAGGTTTTTAATAATTATATTTTGTATATTGTCATGTCCTGGGGCTTTTCGGCCTTTTATTTTATTTATAAATGTTGTCACGTCTTTGGGTTTGATCCAAAGTTTAATGTTCCGTTTAGCTGTTGTGGATTTGAAAAATTTTTTGTTTGTTTTTGGACTAATTTTAATGAATTGTCGTGCCCTAAGTCTTCATTTTGTTTATGAATTTTAAGTAATTCATTTCCAATGGCGTTGGCTTTTTCAGAGTCCGAGGTATGCAATGTGTTGTTTGTAATAAGTGTAGGTATGTCGGATTGTTTTTTGGTCAGTTTTCTGGCCGTGGTCCATATTGTGTTGAACCCTGAATTAATGTTATCTAGCTTGTTTTTCCAGGTGATGTTGTGGTATTCTTTGATGTCAGTTGAGATCTGTCTGGATAGTTTGTTAAGTAATTGTTTGATGTTCGGGTCTCTTGTGTTTTGCCATTGTTTACGAACATAATTTTTTAACTTAATGTCTGCAAGTATATTCTGTGGTAAAGAGTTGGGATTTGATGAGGATTTTTGGGTGGGAATTGATTTGTTAATTGCATTTCTCACACACTCGTTAAGATTTGTTATTGCCTTGTCAATTTGTTCTGTAGTATCTAAAGAAATTTTGGTTGTTATTTGATTGTTTATATGCATTCTAAATAATTTCCAATGAGCGCGTTTGTAATCAAGAAAGTTTTTATCGTTGCTATTGTTAACTGCTAAATTATCAATAGCTACAGATGTTATTACTGGATTATGGTCCGAGCTAGAGGCAGTGAGAGTGTGTGGAGTTGCAACATGGAACAAATTTCGAGTGATTGCAAGGTCGATAGTGCTTGGGGACCAGTTGCAATTATCTGGATAATAGGTATGAGATAGAGGATAATGCAATTGAACTGTATCTATGTTGTCTAGTAGGTATTCATGTAAAACTAGGCCATTATAGTTATTGTTAGTACAGTTCCAGAGTGGATGTCTAGAGTTAAAATCGCCTGCCATAAAAACTTTAGGAAAAAGGTTGAGCAAAGCGTCTAAGTCATTGGTATCGAGTTTATGGCCAGGAATATAACTGGAAATAAAAGCTATTTGTCCCAAATTAGATTCTATTGAAATAATAGTTGCTTCTATATTATTAAGAACAGGGGTAGGAATATGGGTATGTGGGATGTTATTTTTGATAAAAATAGCGGTTCCACGACCTTTGATGTCATCTTTATCGTTTCTGTAGATTTTGTAACCATAAATAGAAAAACTTTATATGTGACTTTAAAAACGTTTCGGAAACCAATGCTATGTGTATGTTGTTATGAGTAAGTAATAGTTTAAATTCAGAAGCTTTTGCCTTAATGCTGCGTGCATTCCAGTAAAGTATATTTAATTCGTTAATTTTTAAAATCATTTCCCAAAGATAAAATGATTAATTAATATATTATCATATTCATTTTCATTTGCTGAATTTAAAGTTTGGGCTAATTTTAAAATTTTTTCAAGAGATGATTTTATTGCCGGTTTTGCAAAAACCTCTTGAATGAATTTAAACGATGTAAACATACCTGATAAATTAAAATTATTGGCCTGCGGTTGTGTACCTGTTTCTTGATCCAGAGCGGCTTGTTGTTGAGGGTGCGGCGATGGAACTTGATTCTGAGGTAAGGGTAGGGTATTTGTCATTCGCTCAGGTAGCGCTGGAAACTCTCTCTGTTGTAGCACTGAATTGAACTTTCTAGTTAACGGTAGAGGAGCAGGTGCCGGGATATAGACATTTTGTCTGGCCTTGATTTTTAGTTGTTCTCTTCTAGCTTTAATTTCCAGTAGTTTCGGGCATGACTTGAAATTTGCAGGGTGGTTACCTAGACAGTTGATGCACTGAGCTGGTTCCGCTTTGGTTTTGGGGCAGCTGAACGCCTCGTGGGGTTTTGTACATTTCACACATCTATTCTGAAGGTTGCAATAAGAAGAAGTGTGACCAAAATTTTGGCAGTTGTAGCACTGTATAATGTTTCCATTCGATCTATATTTGTCCCATTTGACTGCGTACCCTGCTAGGTGTTTTTTGTTTCTAATACGAGCCATATCCTGTTCATGATGAAAGAAAAGCACGAAAACTGGTAGTTTTATTTTTTCACCTAACACGTTGGTTTTAGTCATTTGAATAACTTTTTCAATTCTGCAGAATTCTATGATCAGTTCTTGATAAATTTCATCACTTGTCACGTAAGGTGGAATTCCTGCAGCAACAATTTTTATAAGCTCAGATCCCTTCTGTGGAAAAGTGTAAAATTTCTTGTTGTCTTGTTTCAATCTTTCGTACACATTTTTGTAATCCACTTCGCTGTATGTGGTGATTCTGTAGTGCAGTTTTCCTTTGTATTGCACATGCAATTTGTTCTTACACTGTTTTGCCAGAAGTTTAACATAATCATTTTTCCCTAAATCATCTAAAACTACAATTGCAGGCATTGTTTTTTGGGTAAATTGATCTTCTTTTTGGGGTTTTTTATTTGAGGTTTCCGGTTCGGTTGGGTTAGGTTTTTTGCGTTTTGTAGTCACAAATTCATCTTCCATTTCGTTTTTATTATTTTCTTCATCTTGTTCAGCACAAGCTAATGGCGCAAATTTGTTTATATGCACAAATCGCCCCGCTGGCAGTACCTCGTTCAGTTGCTGTGCGACACTAATGTTAGAGTCCTGATCCGCCGCCATAATGGCAACGTTATAGTCTAACGTCGACCATAAATTGTATAGAACTAATAATTATTATAAATAGTTTTTAATACTTCACCACGTAACATATTCACAAAAATTTCACTTTAAATACGAATCACTTCACATTTAAATTCACAGGGATTATAGATTTTCTGGGCGATGCGAACACTACGGCTGCTCGGACTCGAATGGGAATATGTTTTAAAGAAAGTATTAATTAATATATATTTTACTATTTTTTCGTATTGACTTTTTATATGCAATTGATTTCTTTTCTTACATGGGGGGGCTTCAATTAATAGAAAATAGAAGCCCTTTTAGTATTAGTATACTTTACAGTTAAGGGCTTCGAAAAGGGCTCTGAATTGAAGGAGCTCAATTAAATGAATGAATGAATTTATTAAATTTTGCATATTATTTAAATTTATATAACATGTAATAATATATTTTATATATTTAAATAATAAAATTTTTAAAATATTTACGACAATAATTTTATTTTTACGAAAATATTTAAATTGCGATTTTTTTTTTTTTTAATATAAATTTATTTTATAATAAATTAAAATAAACTTAAACTTATTAACTAAATTTGAAAAACTAAAGTTTTAAATTGAATTGAATATTCAATCATTAATTTTTATCATATTGAAAATATATAGAAATTGAACATTATTTATAATATAAATTAATAATAACGATCTCTAATAGAAATCTGATCAAAATTTATTGAAAATCCTAATAAATATCATTAGTGTCAGGTTATTTTATTTTATCTATAAAACCAATGTAAAAATTATAAAGTTCTTTTGTAAAATATTTGTGGGCCTGAGAAGGGCCTTTGTTATTGTCGACAGAACATATAAGTGGCATCACAAAATCTTCATCATTTTATTTCGAGCTGGTGTACTTGGTTACGGCCTTAGTACCTTCGCTGACGGCGTGTTTGGCCAACTCGCCTGGTAGCAATAGCCGGACTGCTGTCTGAATTTCCCGACTAGTGATTGTAGAGCGTTTGTTGTAGTGAGCCAAACGCGATGCCTCGGCCGCTATACGCTCGAAGATATCATTCACAAAGCTGTTCATGATGCTCATCGCCTTGCTCGAAATGCCCGTGTCAGGATGGACTTGTTTCAAGACTTTGTAAATATAAATGGCATAGCTCTCCTTGCGCTTACGTTTCTTCTTCTTGTCGCCCTTTGAAATATTTTTCTGGGCTTTACCTGCTTTCTTAGCCGCTTTACCGCTGGTTTTCGGTGGCATGTCTGATGTTTACTAGTACACTGACTGATACGAAATGAGTCGTGCCGACGCTCCGTTTTCGTACTGCTTCAACGTTTTGACTGAAGCCGTAACAACGTACGTAGGCAAGGGAGGGGCGTGTCTACAAAAAAATGGGCGTGTGCTTGCAACGCTCAGAAATCTATACGGGCCCGTTCGAGAACTTTGATATCATTCTCAGTTTGAACACGAACCTGTAAACATGTCTGGTCGAGGCAAAGGCGGTAAAGTCAAGGGAAAGGCTAAGTCACGGTCTAACCGTGCCGGTCTTCAGTTTCCAGTCGGTCGTATTCATCGTTTGCTACGCAAAGGCAACTATGCCGAGCGTGTCGGCGCTGGTGCACCCGTCTACCTCGCTGCAGTCATGGAATATCTGGCCGCCGAAGTTCTCGAGTTAGCCGGCAATGCGGCTCGCGACAACAAGAAGACCAGAATAATTCCGCGTCATTTGCAACTGGCCATCCGCAATGACGAGGAACTCAACAAACTGTTATCGGGTTGTTACGATTGCTCAGGGCGGTGTATTGCCGAACATACAAGCTGTGCTTTTGCCAAAGAAGACAGAAAAGAAAGCTTAAATTTCTTTTATTGTCGCAAATTGACATAAAACCGTCCTTCTCAGGACGAACAACTTTATTCAAAAAATGAACATATATTATTTTACTATTTATTTATTATTTTACTATTTTATTTATAATACTATTTAATTTACTATTCAATACTCATTTTAATTTATTTTAATTTTTTTATCATAACATTCGGTATATAATTTAATTGATTTTAGATATTTTTATTTAAATAAATATAAATAACAACATTTGTTTGAATGAATCAAAGAATATTTAAGGTTATAAATGTACGAAATAATAACTTTATTTATTAGTTACGTTGTTATAAATCATTTAAAATGAATATAAAAAAAATCTATATAAGTATATTAATTTTTGTAGTGATTTCAACATCAAATAAATAATTCTTGTTTTATTATCGAATATTAGCACATTTATATGTTATTATGTTATCAATTATTATTGAATTTCACTAATATCGATTATAGAATTTGTATATTTAAAAAAAAAAATTGTAGGGTTTGTTAATGATTTGATTTTTATAACATTCGCAATTCAGGCTAAAATCTCGCATGTTTTCTGACCCTCGAGCAAACGGTTATTCACGGTCGTCGTGTTTAGGAACTGCCGCTGTATAGTGGCCTAAATGTTTCAGCAAGCATTTACGCTAGATATCAATGTCAATACCATAATACCTTATAGCATTTTGTTAGTCTCGACAAGGAGAATAAAATAATGATTATGCATAAACAAAATAATAATATTATAGTTAATTTTGACGCGTGTTTTTAAAAAAGGGCGTGGCTTAGTGATCGTGGAAAGATTTACTAATAATTATCGTACAAAATTTATTAATAATCATAAATAAATGAATTGTTATAAAATTATAATAGTATTATTATAAAGTTATGATGAATTATTATGAAATTTTACTATTGTCGAATATAAATTTTGTATATTTAGGTATTATTTACATATTTCCTTAAAATTTAAGAAAAATTAGATAATCTCGAAAAAATTATATGAACACACATAACGATTTATATATCATTTTATTCGTGATTTTATTCTGCATCTTTCGTACGAACAAAGTTTTTTCGTATCTTTTACTGTTTAGCTAGTAGAGAGCAATCTGTGTGATTGATCACTTATTGAAATGCAAATTACATTTAGATTGCAGCAATTATTGACAATATTTCTATATTTTCATAAAGAAACCATATAAATTATAATACATTGTTAAAATTTCGTATGGTTCTCCAGTCATTCAATTCTAATAACAATCACCATTTAGGCTAAAATCTTGCATGTTTTCTGACCCTCGAACAAACGGTTATTCACGGTCAGCGTGTTTAGATATAGCAGCAGAGCCGCATATTCAGTTCAGCAAGCATTCAAGAATAAAAGAATAAAATAATATTTATTAAATATCAACTAATATATAATCTTTTCTCGGCAATGAATATAAGATATTATTATTTTATTCTATACAATTGAATTAAAAAAAAAAAAAAACATAAATATTATATTTTATTATTAATGACTAAATTATTTATACATTCGATTTATTTTAATAAAATATAATATGATAGAAATATTATGATTTTACAGAATAAACAGTTTGTGAATTTTTTGACTCAAGTTATTTCAAGAAACAACAGTACAATTGTTTACTGTTTTGTATTTTATCGTTCTTTTGAAAACTACGAATGAAATAATTAATTATAACGATAATATTATTTTATTAGATACTATGCAAAAAGAGAATAGAGCACACACAAAAAATATTGGTAAATATAATATGCGTTCAAAATTATATTCTTGAACTTGAATGCACGACGCGACATAATGTTTTACACAAATGATTTCTAACCGAATTTTATGCGTTGGTGTATTGATAGTGTATTACATCGTAAATATAATTAATTATTTCATACAAATAATATTTTATTTTAATAAAATATTATATTCGTTATTTAATCAAATCGTTTATATTAGCTATTGTTCAGTATAGATTCATAGAGTACTCAAATGAATGTTCAATGACAGTTTATGAACAATTATGATACTATTTATGAATAAAAATTTACAAAAACTGTTTCTAGGATATATAAGTATAATTAATCGCATCAAAATATAACATATCTCAATGCTCATAAAAATGCGATAACGATTTTGTTGAAAACGCACTATTGAGTGCAGAAGTTATTTGAATATAATTAGCGATATTTTAGAAAAACTAACCGTTGAAATAAATCATGCTTTTGATGATATGTTGGGGATGAATTTGGCTATCATGTAAATCCATTGCTTTATGCGAATTATTTAGAAAAAAGCGCTGGATTTAATTTTTTACAAATAATTTACATTTTTGTAAAATTTTCAAATATTATTGTTATCTC